ATATATATGGCTCATCTGGTCTTCTCACCATTCTCATCAAATTAACAAACCCGCTAGCTATGGCAAGACTTGTGAAGTCCTCAGCACCCCTGTTTGTTTTTCTCGTTCTCTATACGCTTCTTGTGTCAGAAGTGAGTGGAAACGGCGGAAGGATGGTAGGCGGGAGAGCCAAGGTGAATGATGTGAAGAATAACAAGGAGATTCAGGAGCTGGGAAGGTTCTCCGTGAAGGAGTTCAACAACCACAGGAGCACGTACGGGAAAGGTGGCGAAGTTGGAGAGCTGATGTTCTCTGAAGTGGTGGAGGCACAGACGCAGGTGGTTTCTGGGCTCAAGTATTATTTAAAGATTGAGGTAACCACACAGAGTGAAGAGAAGCTTGTGTTTGATTCGGTGCTTGTGGTCAAACCTTGGCTTCGATCCAAGGAGTTGCTTTCCTTTGAGCCTTCCATTGGACTGAGGGTAAGAAAATGAGAAACTGAAACGAAGATAATCAAGATCTTGAGGTCTTCAATTGTGATAATCAGCTGTAACAACATGAGTTGAAGAGATTAAGTAATCTCTGTTGTCTTTGTTTTACGAGTCTATGTAATAACCATGTTCATATATGTTAACTGTGGGTGCTCAAGAAATTTATATGAATAAATGAAATAATTATTTATAGCCTCTCTTCTTAATTTATCCATCCATCTGTTCTTCCTTAAATAGTTAACCAAGCACCTTAGCAGCATGCATCTCGGATTGGTCTGACCCGGCCCGGTGAAATTCACGATCGCCTTTGTTTTAACCTATTTGTTAAAACAAATCTGGAGGGAACGGGTTAGTTGACATCTCTAATCTGTAACCCGGTTTTTCATCAAGCTTTAGGCTTGTTTTTGGTATTGTAATTCTTTCTAGCTTTAAATTATTGTTTTTTTAAGTATTTTTATATCATTTATAGTGAAATTCACTCGATCGCCTTTGTTTTATCCTATTTGTTAAAACAAATCTGGAGAGAACGGGTTAGTTGACATCTCTAATCTGTAACCCGGTTTTGCATCAAGCTTTAGGCTTGTTTTTGGTATTGTAATTCTTTCTAGCTTTAAATTATTGTTTTTTTAAGTATTTTTATATCATTTATATATTAATTTTAAAAATTATTGAAGAATATGTTTGTCTTTTTTATTAAAAAAAACAATCTAAAATAAACACTAATACCAAATAACAAGGGAAAAAAGAGAGGGTGTATTAACTTTATAACAACCGTGTTTTTCAAAATGTTTCTAGCTTTAAATTATTCTTTTTTTTAAGTATTTTTATATCATTTATATATTAATTTTAAAAATAATTTTTTTAAAAAATTATTATTTTTATATATTTTCAAGTAAATAAATATTTTAAAAAATAATTTTTACTATAGAAGAATATGTTTGTCTTTTTATTAAAAAAAAAAGCAATCTAAAATAAACACTAATACCATATAACAAGGAAAAAAAGAGAGGGTGTATTAACTTTATAAAAATAAATTTATTTTATATTTTTTTTCAATTAAATACGTTTCTATCTCTTAAATAGGGTATAGTTAGATTTATTTTTTAAAACTATAATCATTGCTCGTATTTGATTGAATTGTGTTGGATCTTGTCCTAATCAATCAAATGCCTGATATATAAATGATATTTTTATATTAATAAAAATAATTTCTACTACAATAGTAAATTATAAAATAAATAAATAAATAGAAATTCTTATTATAGAATAATATGTTCTTGTCTTTAAAAGAAAAACATATTAACTTAAAAATTATTTTAAAAATATATGTTTATATATTTTTTCTTCAATTAAATAGATTTTTATTTTTAAAATAGAGAGATAAAGATATGGTTCGATATATTTTTTTTTT